GGTAACTAGGAAAGAAGAAGAAAATTTAAACCTTAAATATCCTTCTCATTTTTTTTAATTACATAATATGCCATTGTTCGGAAACTGTTCATTAACCATCCAGTGACTAACATGCTAACAATTATTATATCATGTTATACAGAATAATAACACGCTAACAATAATATATGATTTATGTAACGTGCTAGTAATATATTAAATATTCAAATAATATTTGTATTAACATGTTAAGAAATATGTTATACATATAATATTATTATTAACGCATGATTTATACCAAATACTCATCAATAATGATAAGGACTAGATTCTCATCCGCATTATGTGATTGTAAACTATATTTGATTTTCGTAGTATATCGTATATAATATGTTTTAACTATAGATATTGTATGTTTTTAACTTGTAAATAGAATCAAATAGTTTGAAATAATATAATAGTTTAGATATTGTATGTTTAAATAAATAGTTTAAAATATTATATTTTATATTGACTAGTCATCAGTGGATAGGGGTGTTTATTATATGAGTTAAATTTATGTACCTAAACCCAATAATATGAAATCTGATGGCTAAATGGGTTACATGGTTACCCACAAACAAATTAAATATCATAATAAACTAACTAAAAAGAACAACACCATTTCATATTATTATAAATAAATCCAACAAAAAATTTCAAGTTTCAAGTAACAAATTAAATTAAAATATTTTCGTATTTTACGATAAATAAAAATTATTAAAAATCCGCTAAAATTATTGACGGGTTAGGATAACCAATGGGTATTGATCTGACAATAAAACCAATTGTTACAATCTCAATATAACATAACAAATCTCCGTAGTAAAAAATAACCAAACATATAACTTCACAATTTAAAAATCAATTCATATTACGAATAGTTATTAGATAATAACGAATAGTTTAACTTCACCCTTACTCTTCTCACATTGGTGTCAAAAATATCTTCATAGAGACCATTTTCGAAATATTACATTGGTGAGAGACATACCTCACCAATCCAATCAAGTCTACTAACAAAAAGAAAACAGAATCACTACATAAACAAAATCTAATGACAACTATTTCGAAACCGTTAAATATAAAGAAAAAGAAAACTTCATGATGGGTTAATGTATGTATGACATTCAATTCCACTTTCAAAATCTTATGTTTTCTAAATATCTACACGTAGAAATCCTAAAATATAAAATGCAATGGTTATTAAAATAAGCATAGAAATCTATGTCATGCTTTTCCACTCAAACGAATGTGAAGTAGTACAAACAATTCGGTTTTTAGGTTTTCAAATACGCCTAATACTTCATATTCCGGTAAAATATATGTTAAAAATTCGGGATCCTAAACCTATTTGATCCTCAAAATCTTAGAAAATCATTTAGTTCCGAAAAAGACTAATACTTGATATTATTTAATAATTAAATACATGCAAAAATACAATTTATATAATCCCGCTAAAAAATAGGCATATAAATCGATAATATATGCTAAACAATGGCAAAATATTCATATTATCAAAGACTTATTACTACCGATTTAAAAGGATAAGGTTAAACTTACCAATAGAGTTTTCATTGACATTTCCTTCAATAAATCTTTCGAAAGAGACAAAATTCATCATATAATGAAAGGTCATTGGAAGACAATTGGTGATACTCGTTTGATCAAGTATGTTGATCATAAACGAATTGCATATGTTCTTCACCGGACATTGATCAACTATCACTTCAGAACAATTAAACGTTTTCCAAACACCTTCTCCAATGATATTCGAAAAAATAGTGNCTCGATTTCATCATGAACGCCTTCGGTTTTGTCTCACTTCAAAACATGTTACATGTTACAAAATAATTTTTAAACCATAAAATCCTAATTTTGTTTTGCATAACATATAAACATACACATTAGCTTAAAAACATTCACAAGTTTTTGAGATTTAAAGACACAATTTCACCTGCCTGATCTTTCTTGGTTTCTTGCTTGGTTGTGAAAACCAATCCGCGCAAGCTTCCATGCTTTCTGGACTATGAGCTCCATCAAGATAAAATTCAATCACCTCAGGGAGTTCTGTATCAAGCACGATCATTGCCCGTCCCATCAAATAAGCATTCGACAATCCAAAGATGAATTTTTCGGGTAAACTGTTCTGTTTTCACGAAGAATAAAGCTGCAGAATTAACAGCACGGAAACTTGCAAGTGAGATCAGTAAAGACATCCTACTTCTCCTACGGTACAAGATGGCAGCCCTCGGCAGTTGCTCATCTCTTTATCAACTCAAACAGCACGGAAAGAAGAAGACTCATACCTCTTTTGGTTCCAATCCTTTAAACACTCTCCTTAGAATCCACTTCTTCCTTTTATACTTTCTTATCTTGCTCGCATGCTCTGTTTTGTATAATTGCTCTAAAACGTTGCCGGTGCAAAAGCCAATTACAAAGAAAGGTGCTTTGATTAAAACAAAAAAGGTTTTACGTGTTAATGTTCCATTGCATACATGTTGTAACATGTATTCCAATTAGTTTTTGTTCAAGAGTTTCTGAAATCTCTTGAAAAGACCTCATGTGTAACAAATAATCCGGATAATTATAGCATTAGTTAAAGAAAAGTAAAAGATTTATAATAATGCTTATATATTATTACCTACTACAATATTTAACTTACATGAAAAGAAAACGAATGTAAAAAAAAAAAAATGAGTAGTTTGACACCGGATTTAGAAATTAAACTTATATTCCAACTACCTGAACAAATACAATTTGTTGAGGGTTAAACTGAACAAAGACAATTAGCGATTGTAACCATCATTATTGATGATCTTTTGTGAGTATCATTAGATATAAAATTATTAAAACACACTTTCCCTCTTCTTTTTACTCAACTTTATATCTTCTCTTTCATCCTTTTATTCAACTTTTATTAATTTTATATTTAAACACACCCCAACTAAAATTTAAACTCTCCCCAAAAGTATCAACCCATTGATACAAAGACACTCTCTCTTCAAAAGTATCAACTCATCTTCTCTTTTTACTCAAATTTTATTAATTTTATATTTCAATATACTCCATTATTTCAACTAAAAACATTTTCTTTCTTCTTTTTACTCAAATTTTAATAATTTTATATCTAATGATACCCACCAAAGATCATCAATAATGATGACTCAGCAAAATAACAATATATGACTCTTATCTCTGACCAAGTTTAAGATTTGAAAATTTAATATGTTTAAAATTGTTTTCAGATTGACCTTGCTTAACATGTACTACGAACAAACATAAAAAAGTAAAGTAAATAGGTATGTGTAATAAGTAATATAAACACAAATGACTGAAAATAGTATAAACACAAAATATTATATTCGTCCTATGATTTATTTTACTGATTCGTTACTAAGAGTGAAAAGTGTTGACAAGACTACTAAAGAAGTTGTTGACCAATAAAAAAAAGTGATCACATTTGGAGTAAAATGTAATAGTTTCTTTTGTTAACGTTTTTTTCCGAAGATGGTTACTGGTTCTTGGTATTTTTCAGATTCTTTTGCGCAAATTTAAGGATATAGAGAAACGATCAACTTTGTTCAAGATGGAAACGAGAATCGCATAGAGTAAAAGAGAATTTAGCAGAGATATTTAGTCTTCAAGAGACAATGCCAACATGTAAGAACCATTTTATCTTTTGTTTTCACCATTTGTTAAATTTTCATTATATCCCAATTTATCAATAAACAGTTAAAATTTATTTATTTACCAACGTACCTACGGATGGAGAAGAAGTTCTAGAGAATTTTCTTTCTCCGAGTCATTGAATTGGTATGAATATCGGCAGTTAATCATTAGTTATGTGATACAAAGATAAAATAATAGACAAAAGGAAAAACATAAATGTTTTATATTTAAAGAAATTTTTTAAAATATCACTTTCCAACTGCCACTATACAAAAAATACCACATTTTTGAAATTTTTACAAAAATAGTATTTTTCAAAATTATTTTTTCTTTATATTATTTATTTTTGGGTTAATTATGTTCTATTAGGTTTTAGTTTTGAGTGTTTATGGGGTTTTAGGTATCAAAACATTTTTTTAGGGTTTAGAAATTTAAGATATAGGCTTTATAAATCTATATTTAGTGGTATTTTTTTAAATGGACATCCCTAAGTGACATTCTTGCAAATGTGCATACAAAAAGTGGTATTTTGTAATTGCCCTCTATATTTAAACCAAATAAATTAACGTTTTAATTTGGTATTGTCAAATTCTAAATAGTCAATGAATGAGAGAGTTCTTGGACATAAAAATATGTGAAAACATATGCAAACAATTATAGTGAGTTAATTTTAAAATTATTGATAAGGAATGAATTAAAAGATAACTAAAATATATTCGTAAAAAAAATAATTGTGTACTTATGTTGTATATATACTAGATTTTGATCCACGCCAGACATGAGATTAAATAATTAAATATGTTTTTAATCCAATTTAATATTTAGACGTGTATTCAAACATTCATAAACACACAAAAATGATATGTATTGTGCATACATATAATAAAGCTAAATTTTTCAAACATAAACATATTTTATCTTTGTTATTTTTTATTTCTCTCATCTATTAAAACTTATCATGAATTTTTGTTTTTGAATATTTTAATACCGCTTTTGACTCATATAAAAAAATTTAGTATTATTGAAATATTTTCTATATTAATTACCACTTATTTTCATATATTTGTTATTAAGAATTTTTAATAATTTTTATTATGAATTAATTTTTTAAAACCGTCTTATGATGACACTTAGGATTGTCACGCACTATCTCTTC